ATATATATATATATATATATATATATATATATATATATATACATAACAAAGAGAGAGTGAGAACGAAATAGGAGGTAACATCAATATTTATTTAGATATTCTGCATCATGATTTTATTATCATTGTCACAGACATCTGATGAGCAGTGGGCCGTAAGTATAGTGTGCAGATATAATTAAACTATGTATATATATCTATAAATATTAGTTATATGAACAACAGAAATTCCCGTATTCTCACGCCATATATATAATTAACCCCAAGGATAGTGGGACACATAAAAGAGAGGGAATAACAGAGAGGAACGGGATACAGACTGGATACACATGATAAAACTGACTAACCAGAAAAAAGAATGCTTGTTTGCAGCTTGTCTTTATCTTTTTATTTATCTTTATTCCCTTAAATCCTCCCAATCCACTGCTCGCTGTTCCAGGTGTGTGTGTGTGTGTGGGGGGGGGGGAGACGGGGATTAAGGCTGAGCCCTAATTTTGCAAGGTCTTTTCTTCTTCTTCTTCTTCTTCTTCTTTCCCTTACCTTTTCTTCATCCCTTCTTCTGTCCACTTATCCTAATCGTTAATTCATTTTTATCCTTATCGTCACAATATTTTGTCATAATGCTGTAATCCTTTGAAATATGGTATGAAACGCCAGTGTTCAATGGAGCTTCTCTATAATGCAACATTAGAGTTTATTTTATACAATTATGCGGGTATAATAGTTGTTGTGTTTAGCCTCCCAGACAATATATACATATATGTGTGTGTGTGTGTGTGTGTGTGTGTGTGTGCGTGTGTGTGTGTGTGCGCGTGTGTGTGTGTACATAAATATATACACATATACACATACATATAGATATAGATACACACACACACACACACACACACACACACACACACACACACACACACACACACACACACACACACACACACACACACACACACACATATATATATATATATATATATATATATATATATATATATATATATATAGATATAGATATATTGTAGTCGCTCGTCGACTTGAATGAAGCTCGCCTCACTTTATCGGCAATCATGGTGAAACCTGTGGATATATGTGATGCATTAACTTATATTCAAGACTTACATTAATCCCTTTATCAATATGACACATGATTTGAAATATACATAATGAAATGTTTTCACATCAGATCCACCTCATTTCTATATGTTCACTTATACATATACCGTTATTTCAACTTACACTACAATTTGCTTCACGTGGTTTCAGCATATACACTTTGCGAATACTTGGTGACTTTCTGATCACTGTAGAGCAGATGTCACGAAGATGCTACGCCTTGAAATGTCACAGGCATATTGTGTCCTTGTGAAATATATATATATATATATATATATATATATATATATATATATATATATATATATATATATATATATATATACATGTATATACAAATATATATATATATACATGTATATAAAAATATATATATATATATATACATGTATATATATATATATATATATATATATATATATATATATATATATATATATATATATATATACATATATATATATATACATACACACACACACATATGTATACACATATGTATATTTATACTTATATGCAAATATATACATATATATATATATATATATATATATATATATATATATATATATATATATATATATATATCATATATGTATGTATATGTATATCTATATATAGATATATACTTACATATATATATATATATATATATATATATATATATATATATATATATATATATATATATATATGCATGTATGTTTGTGTTCGTGTGCATGTATACATATATATGTATACATATATACATTATGTATATATGTGTATATGCATGTAAATATACATATATACATGCGCAAACACACATACATATATAAATACACAGATATGTATATACATGTATATGCATACACATATGTATATATATAAATATATAGCTCTGATACCGACCTTCTACTCACTCTCGTGATCTTAGTATAGATCATATAAACTTCTCTGAAAATATAAATTAATTAATTAGTTAAACGTCATTGAGTCACAGATCACAGCAGAGATTATGGATCAGGTACCATCCATCTCTCTTGTCCTAGTTCCACAATGCTATTGGCGAACAAGCCTATTATTCACTTATTAATTAACAATCATCCCTCATTATATGCAGGTACTGAGGTCACCTGGGCATCAGCTGAGGTCTTAGGAAGCATGTCTGTATAGAGGAAGTATGTATTCAAGCTCACACAAATATATATATTTGTATATATATATATATATATATATATATATATATATATATATATATATGTATATATATATATATATCTCCAAGATCCACCTGGATTCCAGCTTCAGAACCTGAAAGTGGAATCTAGGCCTCAATTTCAATAAATCTAGTTTTTGCATTGTGGGATGTCTACCATAGTATCAACGCGGAAGTGTTTTATCATTCACACAC